GGCCCTGTCACTGGCGTGGGAAGCCCCTGCCCGTGGGCACAGCCCCTCCAGCTGCACCATCCGCCTGAGCAGCCCCAGAGGCCCCAGAATGAGGCGAACATGGCAGCGGACCACAGGCCTCTGTTCCCGCAGCGGGTTTCATCTGAATGGTCATTACCACGATTCGTGTAGCCGCTGGGGTTCTCCACGCCTGCGTTTGTCACCAGGCGGCTCGATAGTGGTTGGAAGACGGTGGTGCCAGCTGCCGGGCTGGGGCTGCCACGGGGCTGGTGCTCACGGGGCCGGCTCAGGGACCCCCCCGGGACTGAGGAGGGGCCAACACGCAGCTTCACTGGCAGCTTCTCTGGGCCGCGTGGAAGATGAGCAGACGGGACCATGGGGTCTTGGGCATGGCCTGCAGCCCTGCAGACAGCCCACAGGGCCCCAGGGACGGCCCTGGCCTCCCCGCCCCCCAGGTGGGGAAGGACGGGCCACCAGGTGTCCTGGAGCTCGTCCCTGCAGCTTCTTCTAGTGGGGACCCTCAGGGCCGGCCACTCCGAAGAAGGGGGGCGAGTCCCCGACCGGTACACCCTCCTGGTCCCTCCTTGAGGACACTCTCTCTGCTCCCTGCTCCATGTGCCAAAACCAGGCCGGTTCCTGCCAGTGCCCACCGGCCAGCCAGGGGCGAAGACGCTGGTGAAGGAGGCCCAGCCTGGTGCCCCTGCCCTGAGAGGGGTCTCACACCGCGGTGCCCCCCGCCCATGGACTTCCCCGAGTGTCTCTGGCCTGTGCTCTCCCTCCCACCCTCCCACGCCTTCCTGCCCGGCTTTGAGGGCAGCTGCCCATACCGTCCCCTTTCCGGGGTCCTCAGCACCCCGAGGCTGAACAAGCAGGATTGGGGGAGCTACACACCTGCCCTAGGGGCTTGGGGAGCATGGGCCCCCCGGCCTGTCTTGGTGAGTTTTTACTGGAGGGAGTTTTTCCATCAAAACTGACACCTGGGTGGCTCAGCTGGTTAAGCATCTGCCTTCAGCTCAGGTCATGATCCCAGGGTCCTGGGTTGGAGTCCCGCATCGGGCTCCTTCTCAGCGGGGAGTCTGCTTCCCCCTCTCTCTCTGCCCGCCTGTGCTGTCTCTCTGACAAATAAATAAATAAAATCTTTAAAAAAAAAAACTGACCTTCTGCAGACAGCTTACAAATTCCTTTAAAACCTGACCATCTGCACCAGTGACCGCTGTTCTCTGGCCTGTCTCTGTGCCCTCATCACTGTGCCCAGGGTGTTCCCCTGAACCTGCGCTAACCTCAGGAGCTTGGGGCTCTGGTGGGGAGACAGGGCTCAGCCGACAACAGAGCCCCTTGGCCGAGGCCATACCCCCAAGCCCTTGCTGGCCCGGCTGCCCCCAGCACATCCCGGCCAGCCGCGGGGCGGAGTCCAGGCTGCCGGTAGCGAGCGCCAGGGAAACTCAGACGAGCTGCTCCAGGCCCAACCTGGGGTGGGCGAGGGGCCAGCAGCCCAAGGCCGTCTCTGGGGTCGACTGGCAGGATTCTGCGCGGACCCTACGGCGAGTGCTCCCTTATCCCTCCTGGGAGCGCAACAGGGAGGGCCTCATGCTGGGGTCTGTTTGCCCTGGGACGGCTGAGGGCATGCAGGGTCACTCACCGTGGGGCTCCGTTTCCAGAGGAGCCTGGGGGAGCCACAGGTGTGTCCGGGGTGGGGTCGAGAAGGACCTGGCCCCTGAGCACAGAGCTGGGAGGACCTCTGGGCCAGAAGTGGGAGAACCAGCCGGCTCTCCCCGCCGCCTGGGCCCGGCATCCCTAGAGCCACACTGCCCCCTGCTGGCGTCCGGGGGTAGCAGGCGCCGTGAGGACACCTGGCCTCCCTCGCCACCCTGACCCAGCCCGCCTAGGCCTTAGGGCTGATTATCACCTAAAGGGCCCGGGTGATTATCACCGCGTCCGGCGGAGCTGGGGCCGCTCACTGGCCGGAATCTGCATCACCAAGGGAGAGCTGCAGGGCTGGCGGCGGCGGGGCAGGACAGGAGCGCAGCCCCGGCGGCTGGGGCTTGGAGGCCGGGACCAAGGGCCCACCAAGCACCTCTGCCCGCCCCCGCCTCCCTCCCGATCGCGGCCTGTGACCTGCCATCTGCAGTGTCCGAGCATCCAAGACGTTAAAGACAAGTGTGGGACTGACAACTCGGTGGGGGGGGCACTGTCACTGGGTTTCTGAACAAAGACAAGGTCCCTCCAAAACCTGGTGGCCGCCGCCTGCAGTGCGTCCTGTGGCCACCAGAGGGCAGGCGCGGCCTCAGCGGCTGCGACCGCCAGCCCCCGAGGCCAGCCCGGCCTTGTCCAGCGTGGCAAACAAGGGAGCCAGACTCCCTGTTCTTGCCTCCAAAGTGGGGGCCCCCGAGAGACAGCCGCGTGTGGGTGAGAACGCGTCCGGGAGTCCTTCACCGTTGTCACCCACAGCCGCCCCCAGGGCATCTCCACGAGGAAGCCGCCCTCTGCCCAGGCCAACACCTGGAGGTGTCAGGGCACCTCCTTCCCTCAGCACCCCAGAGACTCCCCTCTGTGTCCACCCTCTGTCCAAGTCCCCATCCCCCGTGGCAGCCCGAGCCCCAGGTGGGCAGGTGCCCCCCTGTGCAGCCCCAGGGACTGTGTTCACACCAGGCAGTTCTCTGGGCAGGACACCCGAACTGACCTCCACTGGCAAGTTGGCTCTCTGTGCCACAGGAGCCCCTGGTGGGCTGCAGGCAGTGTAGACATGGCAGTGCTACCCATGCAGAAAGCCAGGCAGGACGCTCAGTGCGTACCCGCTGGTAGGGACAAGTCACTTGGCCCCTGACCTGGTCTGTCCCCTGGGACAAGCGCCTACACAGTTGGTCGCTGGAATGAGATCTTCAGGTCAGGTGTCCTGGGGGCTCCCCAAGTGTTCCACTCTGGGTCAGAGAACAGAAGGCCAAAGCCCTGGTGTTGGCTGCTAGAGGCAGAGCAGGTACCCCCAGAGGGGTCCTGATTGGGGGCAGGGCATGGGAGCAGCTCTGGCCTTTGCTGGGGTTCTGGTCGTGGGTCGTGGAGGGGACATGGCCCCCAAAGGGCAGCTCATGGCAACCAAACCCCACGGAGGGCCCTGCCCAAAGGAGGCTGCAGAGCTATGGAAAGGGGAGCCACTGGGGGGGTCAGAGCTACAGACATGGGGTGCAGAAAGTGGACGGTCCAGAGGCTAGGATGCCCTCCAAATCCATGGGAAATGAGAGGGCTCTTCTGGAGGGGCCAAAACCCCTTTAGGAAGGAGAGTGAACCAGCCCTGGACAGCCCATGGACAAGACATCCATGCTCGTGGAACCCAGTCCCCTCCCTTGGACACAAGGGGAAACTGAGGCTGGTGCAGAGAGCAAGACAGCAGGGCCTCCAGCCAGGACTGGAACCCAGGAGGAGGGCGTCCCCTCCCTGCCCCGGGGCAGGGGTGCTGGAAGGATTGCTCACCAGTGTGGGGGCCACACCGCTTCCCAATAGCCCTTCCCTGACCCTGGTGCTCACCCATGACTGGACCTGGCTTACCCTTCCCCTTGGAAACCCCCTGACCCCCCGAGACTGTTGAGTGAGAGACAAGTGGCCAAGAGCACTGTGGAGGAAGGCTCGGCAAACAGAGAGAAAGAGATCTCACCCAGCCATGTCCCTTGCCCCTGGTCAGAGTGCCTGAGGTTGACCAGGGGGGCTCAGTCACCTGCTCTTCTACCTCCCCCCTACACTAGCCCCAGGAAGCAGAAACCCAAAGCATTCAGAGGGCTGCCCCACCCATGTTTGGAGTCCCTAACCTCAGAGGCAGGATAATGAGGCCTCAGAGCCTGGAGATGGAAGGGGCTCCCCGCCAACTCCCCACCTTGGGGGACTGAGTGCCAGGGACAGAGTCCCTGCCAGAGCCTCCTGCAGGCAGTCTGGCCTCCTTTCAGACAGGCCACGGGCACAGATGGCTCTGCACCTGCTCCACCAGCCCACGATCTGGACAGGAGAGCAGAGGGACCTGCTCCGTGACATTCCCCACCCCTCCTGCTCCAAAGAAAACATGAAAACACGTTGGCCCACGGGGTCCTCCATCCTTCACTCACCACCGTCCATTCCTGCGTGCTGGGTCTGTGGGGGCACACGCACACAGATCACTGCCCACCTGATGGGAAGCCACCCAGTCTACGGCCATACCACCCTGAACGCGCCCGATCTCGTCTGATCTCGTAAGCTAAGCAGGGTTGGGCCTGGTTAGTACTTGGATGGGAAGCCACCCAGCAAGCCAGAGGAGGAAGGAAAGGAAGGGCTCTGGCTGGGTGGGGTGGGCTAACCCCAAGCTAGGTTTATGCGGGACCTTGCTCTGTGCTAGCCCTGAGGGTCAACAGGGACAGAATGTGCCCTAAGATGCGAGGTGCCAGGTGCATGGCAGTGTCTAGTGGCAGTGGCCACTATACAGAGCCCTCAAGGGGCAACATGCCTTGGCGGCGGGGGATAGTCGGGGGAGGAGCACTGCAGGCAGAGGGAACAGCCAGTGCAAAGGCCCGGAGGCAGGAGTGTGCCTGCTGAATTCGGGGGGCAACAACAGGAAAAATGAAGGGATGAATGACTCAGTCCACTCCGGCTCCTAGCCCAGCCCCCACCCTGGCAGGCTTCCCTGTGTCACCGCTGGACCCCGGGGAGCTCTGCCTCCCACCGCAGGAGCCTGACCTCTACAGGCCCGCCCTTCGGGCTGTTTCTGGTCAGCCTCGCCCCGCCCCCCGTGCACACGTGCTGTCACTCAGCTGAGGCCCCGCCCCTGCCCCCCCCCCCCCCCGCCGTCGCTCAACCACCCGCCCCCGCCCCCGCCGCCCCCCCGTGCTGGCTCTAGTCCAGGCCCCGCCCCCGCACACGTGCTGTCACTCACTCGGGCGCCCCCCCGCCCCGCCCGCGCACTTGTGCTGTCACTCAGCCCGGGTTGTGTGGGAGCAGGAGGCCGCCTCCGGACGCCGGACACTCGGCCCCTGCTCCGCCGGCCCATGGACGTCGCGCTGCTCCTCGCCGTCGGGCTGCTGGCCCAGGTAAGGCGTCCGGCCGCGCGGGGTCCCTCGCCCCCTGCCCTGTCGGACCAGCCCTGGCCACCTGGGGGGACCCATGAGCTGAGGAGTCCCGGGTGGGTGCCCGGCGAGAGGCTCTGTTCAGGGCGCTCTGTGCCCCGAGGGGCTCCGGCGGCAGGGTCACCCCTCCGCCCGGACTGGCCGGCCCGCCGAGCTGGGGGGCCGCCGGAGACCACCCGCCCGGCCCTTCCCCGGAGGTGCCGTGGTGAGCGCCAGGGAGGGGGGCCGCCGCGGGAGCAGCCCAGCTCGGGGGGCCTGAGCGCAGGCTCTCTGACCACACCCCGCCGAGTTGGCAGATGACCCTGCTTGGTCGTGGCTGGAGCCCGAGACACCCTCACCCTGTGCCCGGCAGGCAAGGGCAGCTCTGGAACCCGCTGGCCCTTGGGGGAGTGCTCAGGAGCCCCTCCCCGGGACCTACGGCCGCCACCCCCACACTGCTGGCTCCCCCCGGGTCCCCCCCCTCTGCTGTGGGAGCAGCGTGGGTGAAAGGAACAGGCTGCTGCGCTACCCACCATGGGCACCCCCCTCCCCCCGCCGTGGCCCTTGGCGCCGGGCAGGCACTCGCTGGGCCTGGGAGCAGAGCCTGTGGCCTGCCTAGGGGGACGGGGCTGAGTCAGGGTCCCAGCCAGCGACCAGGGCCAGCCTGGGGTGGGGCCGCTGTGCGTCACCCCGGACCTTAGTTGTCCATGTGGCAGGTGGTGAGCTCGAGGGCTTAGCCCACACGCGCCCACAGGTGACCGCAGTGCCGGACGCTGGGGAGGAGCTCCCATTCTGGAGGCCTCGGGGTCCTCCCGCCTCCACAGAGCTCTGGCTGGAAGCTGCTCAGGTGCCCGTCAGCTGGCCCCCCAGCAACTGGTCCCTCAGGGCACCCTGCCCTGCGGCTCCGGTCACCGCTCCCCGGCCGTTCAGCCTCCCCGGCCCTCTCCACAGCAGCCCCTCTGGGCCTGGGCTGCCGGCCGCCAGCCTGGCACCGCCTGCACTCCTCCAGCCCTCTGCTGGAGGCCATGCTGCGCCGGGGGTCTTCTGGGCGCCCTCCTGCAGGACCCTACGCCCCCCCACACTGAGGTCCATTCCAGAAGGCTGCACACCTCTCAGGACCCCCCACGGGAACAGCAGTCCACCCACGTTGCCTTTGGGCCCAGTACATGGGACGTGCTGGAGTCCTGCTTGGGATTTGGGGTGTGAACCCTTCACTAGGCCCCAGGAGAACTCTGCTGCTGGGAGGGGCGTAGTCCCCTCACAGATTACCCCCCTCCCCGGAGCCATTGCAGAATGACGCCCCCACACACACACACAGCTGGAGGCCTTAGGGATTTGGGGGATCAGCCACTGCGGCTGGGCCACTCAAGTTTTACACTCAGTGTGGCTCAGGTTAGTACCAGCATCTGTCCGGACCCTTCCCACCCTGCCCCCACCTGGCGCAGCCACATGGCAGGGGATGGCTGTTCCTGGTGCCCCTTCCTCTGCCTCCGTGAGCCCCCACGGCAGGCCAGTCTGGGCGTGGCAGAGCGGTCTCGGGGGAGCCCTGGGTGGGGGCCTGGGGACAGGACCCTGCATTGATCTGTTGCTCACGGGTGGTTTTGGACGAGTCATGGCCCTCCCCTGCCTGGGTCCCCTAAAATCTCAGCCAGTGGGCTTAGTGTGTCCTCTCAGAGCTGGTCCCCGTCGGCTGCCTCCGCAGGCTGACGCTGTCCTCATCACTGTGCCTAGCCCTGGGCCCCCACCCCACCTGAGCGTGATGAAGAGATGGGGGAGCCCAGATGATTTAGGGCAAAGCCATGACCTGCTGGAGGGGACCTAAGCTGGGGTCCGGTGAGACATGTGGCTACTGGAAGGAAGACGAGGGCGTAGTTATGCTCCTGGGACTTGGCCAAGTGTGACGAGCCTCCAGGGCAACATGGGACAGGGCCCCGAGCTGCAGACGTGGCCACATCCTCCAGCATGGGGACAGGTCATCATCCCCCTGGTAGTGTGACCGTCACGGGGGCAGCAGAGGGAAGCCGGCTCTGGGACCACTGTCCTCTCCCTGGCGGGCAGGGCAGCCCAGGGCCCCAGTGGTGTGGCCCGCAGTAAGGGGCCAGGCCAGGCCAACAGCTGGCCCTCACCAGCTGCCCGCTGCTGTGCCCCTCACCCCTTCTTTGAAGCAGCAGCTGCAGGGTAACGCAGGGGTGACACGCAGGGGTGTCTGTGGCCAGAGCAGCAGCTGGGCCCATTCCTGGCATGCCTGATGCCTGCCGAGCTGTCCAGGAACGGGGTGGTCCAGATTCCAGCCTGGGGTGTAGGGTCTCAGGCCTGGGAAGCTGGTGGGAAGTGCAGACCCTCCCCACGCTCCAGCAGGCTGCGGGCCTCCCGCCTGGTTCCCAGAACTCGAGAAACCCGGCGTTGGAGGGGCCTGTGCACATCCGGGCATCGGGTTAACCCCAGAACCCCTTCCTCGAACCCCTTTGTGCAGCTGCATTTTGTAAGCTTTGCCTCGCGGCACTGGACAAGAGGAGACGTTCCCTTCCCCGGATTCAGTCACGTCACCGCAGTGGACGGGGCTCTGGGAAGCCGGGCCACAGAGGCAGTGCTACCCCCACCCCGAGCTCAGGCTTCTGAATCTCAGCAGTGGCTTCAGGGAACACTGGGGCCCCTAGAGGCCCACAGTGCGGGGGGAGAGCAGGCTCTCCTGACCCGACACCCAGGCCCCACCCCCAGGTCAGCAGCTTCTCGACCCAGGGTGGCCACCCATGGTGGCAGAGCACCCGGCTTGCTTCACAGGCCCGCGGGAGACCTGGCCCCGGTGTCTTGGGCCTGCAGACTGCTGTCAGGGGCTTGGTTAAGGGGAAGGCACAGGGGTGTTGTCAGGCATCAGTTGGGGGAAGTGGGCCCACGACACCGGTTGGCCCTGCCCGACCCGGGCAGCAGCGAGGGTGGACAGCGCAGGTGGGCCCATGTCCACTCCGTGGTGTTTTTCGTGGCAGCCTTCCTCCTCTGTCTGTGTGCTGGGGGTCTGTGTGAGCTGGCTTTGTCCTGGCACCGATGTCCCATGATCCTGAGGTGGCTCCTGGGTCTTCCCCCAGTCAGCCACGTCCTCTGGGAAGGGGACAGTAGGACAGAGACTAGCTGAGTGCCCCCAGACAGCCGGAAGTGGGCTGTGGCCCAGCCTAGCCACCCCACCCACCGCAGCCTCTGATCTGGGCAGGGGCCCCTGCCAAGGCTCTGTGGCTTCTGCTGACCTCCTGGACTTGGGCTCTGGACAGCCTGGGACCCAGGACCCGTGGGCTGTGCCGCGTTCGCATTTGTCCCACACCACACTGGGGGACGTCCCAGAACATCAGCCCAGGCCACTAGTGGAGACAGGGGTAGGGGGCAGCCGGAGGCTCTGTGGCTGGACGGCGCAGAGTGTGTCCCCTACCTACTGTTCCTCCAAGAGCCTGTGATCAAGGACTGTGTGCGGACTGTCCCCCCCCACTCCACCGCCCCAGGGCTCTCCACCCCCATCTCCACACGGAGGCTAGGCTGCTTCCTGTGTCCCCTAGCTCTATTGCTCTTTGGCTATGTGGGCTCAAGCAATGGCTCAGGCCCTCTGAGCTCCTCTCTGGGGAACTGGGACATGAGACAGTCCTCACCCATTCCCAGGGGCGGTGAGTGCTGAGAGAGGGCAAGGGGAATGGGCAGGAAGCGAGCTTGGAGGACGGGGAGGACGCCATGCTCTGTGCTGGCCTCGGGGCGCTCGGGAAGCAGACCCTGTCCCCGCTAGCTAGTGTGATGACACAGGCCAGCAGGTCTCCACTTGGCGGGAACGGCATGCTGACGTAGAAGAGGTCTTGCTCCTTGGGTTTGGCGAGAAGCCCCCGCCGCCCCAGGCAGGCTTGGGACCAGCACGGCCATCTGTCAGGCTGCGGGTAGCCTGGGGGCCTGGCCGAGAGCTCTGTCCTTTCTCTAATCCGTGTTCGTGTTTGCTGCTCCCTGGATTCCAGGCCCCTGCGGGGAAGGGACCCCTGGGATTTCATATAGGGAGGCAGAAGGATTCCAGAACTGAGAAGGTGGCCTGGGGCCCCAAGGAGAGATCAGCGGTCTCTTGAACGTTCCTGCTGTTTTGTCTACAAAGTGTCCGAACTCGTTGTGTGCCAGCCCTGGGTGGAGACAAAGCTGGGTGCAGGGGAGGCCAAGGACAAGAGTGGAGGCAGCCAGCATCTCCTTCCTACCCCTGTCCTGTCCCACCCCGAAGCACCCCCCTCACTCGTCACCAGTGCCCCCTCCCGAGCCACAAGGCCAGCCCATCCCATACTCCTCTGAGGACTGTGTGGCCCAAGGCGGCAGCTGTGGGGTGAGCTCTAGGGGCTGAGGAGGCAAAGGGCAGCTGGGGAGCACACCCGCCCCCTTGGAGGTGCCCTGGGAGCCAACATTGTCCACCTGAGCAGGAGAGAGTGCCCCTCCAGAAGGGCCCAGGGGCCTGGAGACCCTCAGTGGGGCCCGAGAGCTTCTAGGGACATCCCCAGAGCACTGAGGGCTGGTGTCTGGGCAGGGGTGTCCCTCTGCAGACCCCCAGCTGGCCAGGCCTGCCTTGGGCTTGGAGAAGGGCAGGAGGCAGCTGTAGATGTGGTGTCCTGTGGGTGGGCGTGACCAGTGGACAGTGCATCGCTGACATTCTCCTGTAGACAAACCCAGCCCCTCCCCCCGGGTCCCCCAGACCCCTCCCCGGTCCTGACAGCTCTGATCTGAGTCCAGCCAGACTCTGCCCCTGGATACCCTGGTGCCCAGGCAGCCACAGTGCCCCAGCCCACGCTGTCCAGAACCCTGCTGCAGAGACCACAGAGCTGAACCAGGGCCGTCCTGGGATGTGAAACTCGGGGTGTGTTCTGGGGGTGCTGCCGGCTCTGCCCGTAAATCACGGGACAGGTGCCTTTTCTGGGCCACCGTTTTCTTTCTGAGCTGGGAGGGTGGGACTATCTGTGGTCACCACGAGAGCTGATGGCGGGTCTGGAGAGACTCTCGGCACCACAGGTGCCCCCCTCCTCCCCTGCTCCTTCATAGCCCTGGTTCTGAGCCCAACGCCTGGCCTGAGGTAGGGCCTGGAGGGTATCCATATGCCCCCCCACCCTCCCTTGGCAGTCCCACAGGCCCCAGGACCCCAGTTCCCTGGGTGTGTGGAGAGGGAGGGAGGGGCCATCCCTGGGCTCCAGGAACCAGGGTGTTGGTGTGACCTTGTTCCGTGCTCCTGGGGCAGCCGCGTGGGGGCGGCCCCTGGCGTTGCTGTCCTCTCTGCCCCATGGGCCCTGTGTACCTTCCAGCGCCGGGTCCATGTGCACGGGGATTCCAGCCCCTCCTGACGTCCCGGACACCGGGGCCTGAGTCTCCATTCCCCCGGAGCAGCCAGGAGATGCCACTGGGGGCGGCCCCTGTGGACCCCTGAAGAGCCAGCACAAAAGGCCCGCCTCCTAGAAGCGTTCTGAGTGGGGGCCACACACCCTCTCTTCACACAGGCGCGATGGCGTGGTCAGCCTGGGACACCCCTTGAGAGCTGAAGCCTCGCGTAGGACCAGGGGGGCTGCTTGTCGCCTTCACGGCCCACCTCTGGCCGATCCAGCCTTGGACAAGGGAGGGACAACCCCAGCACCCGCCTCTCTTGCTGGCTCCACCCTGTTAACCACAGTCTTCTCGCACAAAATGTCCCTGGGAGCCCCCCCTTCCCCAGCTTGTTCCAAGTGGCTGCTTTGCTCCCCATCTGCCCCTGCCCCTGAGCACCCCGTGCTCCCCAAGTCCTGGGAGCCTCCCTTGGGCCTGTTGGGGAGGAGTAGGGCGGAGCAGCCTCCATGTCTCCCAGCCAGTTGGCAAACACTCAGGCCTGGGGCCTTCCTGGTCCCAGCAGCTCCCAGGTGAGGACAGGAGACGGGTGCCGGGCCACGGGGGCTCCCAGGGCCATGAGCTCAGGCTCCGACGGTGGGCTTCTCGGAGGCCTGGCCCGCACACCACGTGACTGACCGCTGTCTCCCTCTGTGTTGCAGAGCCTGGGCCTGTCCTTGGGGGTCCCTCGGCAGAGGAGGCCCAGTACCCTCTACCCCTGGCACCGGGCTCCCACGCTGGGCCGCGTGCGAAGAGCCTGGGTCATCCCCCCCATCAGTGTGTCCGAGAACCACAAGCGCCTCCCATACCCCCTTGTGCAGGTGAGGGGCCGAGGGGAGTCCTAGGCAGAGCGGGGTCTGGGCTGTCCCCCGTGGGCCCTTGAAGCTGTGTGACTGGGGACAGGTGTCCTGTGGGGCTGTAGGCGGAGGCTGGGAGGGGGCAGGACCCTGCCCCCGCGGCATCTCCCCAGCCCATACTCTGCTCTGGCAGATCAAATCGGACAAGCAACCCCTGGGCAGCGCCATCTACAGCATCCAGGGTCCTGGTGTGGACGAGGAGCCCCAGGGCGTGTTCTCCATCGACAAGTTCACGGGGAAGGTGTTCCTGAACGCCATGCTCGATCGAGAGAAGACAGACCGCTTCCGGGTGGGGCCCGCTGTGGGGAGGGCTGGCGGGAACCAGGGCCCTCCTTCCATCAGGCTTCTGGGCCCAGGGTTGGGACATTAGGCCATGTGTCCTTCGTGAAGAGGTAGGCACAGGGATAGGGGACTAGGACCTGAAGCCCAAAGGTGTTGGGGTTTATATTCCCATTGCACAGATGAGCATGCACAAACTGAGGCCCCAGGGAGGGGTGCTTGGTCCTGCCAGGGAGGCTGTCAACCTCCCAGCGAAGCACCACTGGACCCTGGTGTGGTTTCACCCCCCACGGCAGCTCTCCCCCAAGCCCTGCTGCGTCTGGTGGGAATGGGGTGTTGTGAGGAAGCCCACGGTAGGGCAAACCCCAACGGCAGCTGTCCCTTGATGCTCAGGGGAAGGTGGCACAGGACCGACCCCCTGCGGGTGAGGTTTGAGACAAAGGCTGGTGGGGAGGGAGATAACAGCCAAGCCAGGAGGAGGCTGCAGAGTCCTCTGCCCTCCCCAGCCCCTTCTCTCCAAAATGCTGAGATCCGTCCTGGGGGAGGAGACTTCCCACTTGAGGTTTCCTGTGCTCAGATCTTAAGAACAAGCTCTTGGCTCCTGGGAGTTATCGGGACCGTGATTTCACCTGGAAATGATACCGCCCCGTCTCTCCAAGAGTGTGGGACGTGGTTTCATTTCAAGTGTTCATGTACTTATTAAGCTCCACGAGGAGCCTAACCCAGTTAGCAGAAGGGAGGGAGCGGGAGCACTGGGGGAGTGCACCTTCGGCCTCGCAGGGAGCACAGCCGGGAGATTCCCACAGCCAAGGCAAGATGGGAAGCTGTGGGCAAGCGGTTGGCCTTCAGGGACAGGGACATTGCCCCTGCTGTGAGCACACCCCACCCCGTGCCATTTCTCCCCTGTTGGAGGGCATTTTCCAGCGTGCCCCGAGTCCGCACTTGCTGTCCCTCTCAGCCTGGTGGGGACCACCCACGTCTGGGGGCACGACAGCAGCCCTTGCTCTCTGCTTGGCTAGCTGCGGGCCTTTGCTCTGGACCTGGGAGGAGCCACCCTGGAGGAGCCCACGGACCTGGAGATCGTGGTCGTGGACCAGAACGACAACCGGCCTGTCTTCCGCCAAGAGGCGTTCATGGGCCGGGTGCTGGAGGGGGCCGTCCCAGGTGAGGGGGAGCTGGGGCGGAGGGGCTCTGGGCCCGTCAGAAGGCCCGGGGGTCCTTCCAGCAGCACTTTCTGTGATCCTTCAGAGCCTCCGGAGTAGGGACGTTCCACAAGTCTCCACAAGTCACTTCCCATTTCAATACAAATCCCCAACCCCCCCGACGTCTCCCTGGGGAGGCCTCCGGGATGGCTGAGCTCTCGTGGCCCCAGCCACTCGCTCTGCATGGAGGGAACGAGTCTGTGGCTGTGGCACAGGCACGGGTCCCTGCGGCCAGTTCTAGAGTGCTTCGTCCCCCAGAAGGAAACCTGCCCCCACCAGCAGTCACCCCACTTCTCGCTTCCAGTCCTACATCTTGATCCCAATCAAGCTTTCCGTCCTTCCTGAGTCTTTACGGGACGGCCTCACTTGCCTGACCCGTCCCAGGCAGGACGGACCTCATTGCAAACAGTGGCTCCTTCCTTCTTCCTTCCCGCCCTGCTCCCAGGGCTTTGGGTCGAAGCGCGGGCAGGGCAAGCCGTGCACTTGAGCGGGGCACGTGGGCTCATGGGAGGTGGGCGCCTGCTTGGTGACTCGCGTTTCTTTTACTTCCTCTCAGTTTTCGTGTTTGAAGACATAAAATAACAATCTTTGATCTCTACTTTTAAGAAGTTTCATTTTCCTTAGGGAGACTGTGCGAACGCAGGGTGGGGGAGGGACAGCCCTGAGCGGACTCTGTGCGGAGCCCATGCAGGCTGGATCCCAGGACCCTGAGAGCATGACCTGAGCCGACACCAGGTGTCGGACACGTCACCAACTGAACCACCCACGCGTCCCTACTTCTTTCTACTCGGGCATATTCTGAGACTTGCAAGAGAGTTGCAAAGTACAGCAATGGAGATGTCAAGTTTATCATGTTTGCTTTAAACTGTTTTTTTCTTTTTTTCCTTCCTGTCTCCGTCTTTTCTGGGCTGCTGGGTGCAGACCGGAAACCCTCAAAGAATTCGCCCTAATAAGTTCGACACAGCGTAACACTCAGTGTCAGGAAGTTATATCGACACATACGAACGGTTTCAGCCCGGGGATGCCTTTACAGCAGGGGGCGGGTCCCCCCATCTCCCGAATCCCAGGTCCCCCCTCTCCGGAGTGGCTCCCATGCTCTGCGGGTTGGTGGCCGCACGCCTGCTGTGCCCTTGGTCAGCTGCTCGTGGCTGCTGGATCCCTGAGGACGGCCTCTTCTCCTCTCGTTCTTCTGTGCGTGGAAGCCCGGGTGCGAGGCAGGGAGGTCGCAAACGTCTGCCACCACAGGATGGCTCGGCCTGGGGAAGCGGCGGTGGGCGGAGACGGTCTCCCCGGCCTGGGGCTTCTGGTACTGACACGGTCAGCTTTAGCAAGCCCCGCGGGGTCCGTGTCCAGAGGACATCCGTCCGGCTGCTGCCCCCTGCCAGGGTGACCAGCACTGCGTGGCACCCGCCGAGGCTCTGTTGGGGCAGGGGCAGGTCCCTGTGCATCCGAGCCTTCCGCCTGGAGGGTTATTGGGGTTCTGTCCCTCCAGCTCAGGGCGGCATCCTCCCCTCCCCACCCCCAGCCCCCGCCCTTGCCCGGACCCGCAGTGGGTGTCCAGTTCTCCTTGCCCCGGACTCAGGCAGACTTGCCTGAGCCACAGGGACCCTGCCCCAGGCTTCGTCCTGCCCCCGTTTCTTGTGAGCACTGCGGGGCCGGCAGAAAAGACCTGACCGTGGGCACAGGTCCCCCAGTGTGGGCCCCCGGGACTGTGAGCCGTCGCGGTCGTCCACAGTCTGCTTTGGGCCTTCAGATCCAGTTCCCGTGTCTGCCGGCCTGCCCTGCTCCACCAGCGGGGACGCCTGTCCTCAGAGCGGCTGGGCGCGCGCCGGATGCCGGCTGGCCAGCTCACCTCGTGCCCTCGCCATCCTGCCCGACTCAGAATAAGTGCGGTTCTGTGCCGCATCGGCTTGCTCCCATCACGAGCGGGGACTGCACGGCCCGCTCCTTAGGTCCGCCGCGCTCCTTAGCCGTGAGCTCTTTAGGACACTGACCTTTTTTTCCAACAAAATTTTGCTGTGCTCAAATGCGTGCAAACGTCACCGTCCTGACCGGTGTTGAGGGGACAGTTCAGGGGTATGAGAGTCATTCATCTGGCGGCCCCGCTGCCCATCCCCAGAGCTCTCCTCCTTCCCAAATTGTGTCCCCATCGAACACCAACTCCGCCGCCCCTTCCCCAGCCCCCACTCCTCCCGTCCACTCCCGATCTCTTTAAGTCTGTCTGACGCTCTCGTACCAGCGGAATCCTGCAGTCCTTGTCCTTCTGCGACTGGCTGGTCTCGCAGACCACGACTGTCCTCCGGGTCTTTCCTGTAGCACGTGTCAGGACCTCCCTCCTCCTTCGAGCTGAATGTGTTCGGTTATGCGGACGGACCCCGCTGCCCTCATCCGTTCACTCGTAGGCGGATACGTGGGCTGCTTTCACATTTTAGCTCTTGTGGATTCTGCTGTTGCGAACGCGAACATACCAGCAGGTGTCCAGGCTCCGCTTTCAGAAGTGGAACTGCTGGGCCACGTGGTGACCGTGAGTGAGGGCCGAGGGACAGCTGTGCTGTTTGCCCCGGAAGCTGGGCCGCTCGCCCCCCGCCAGCAGCACGTCGGGGGCCCCGCGCGCTCCCGTCCTTGCCAGCGTTTCTTTTCAGGTCATCGTTCTCAGCAGTAGGCACCCTAACAGGTGTGTGTCCCCTAACAGGTGTGTGCCCCCTAACAGGTGAGGGGGTGTCTGACTGTCGCTTGGGTTTGCGTTTCCCTGATGAGCGATGTGGAGCCTCTTTCCATGTCCGTATTGGCCGTTCGTCTATTTTATTGGGAGGAATGTCTCTTCAGGGCTTCTGCCCGGTTTTGAATTTTGCCGTGTTTTCGTTGTTTAGTTTTATGGCTTCTCTTTGTACCCTGCATATCCCTTGATATCTACGGATATATCTACAGGGTTTCTAAATGTTTTCTCTCATGCTGTGGATTACCTTTTTTATGTGGTCGGGATTGTCTTTGACGCACAGCATTTGACAACGTTCATGAGCCCAGTGTGTCTAGTTTTGGGGGCCTGGGCCTTTGGTGTCCTATCCAGAAACTACTACTGAATCCAGTGTTGTGAAACGTTTGCCGTCTATTTTCTTCCAAGAGCGTTACCATTCTAGGTCTTAAGGTTTAGGTCTTCGATCTCCTTGGGGTTAATTTGTGTGTATGGCATGAGGCAAGGGTCTGGCTTCGTTCTTCCGCGGGGGGACAGCCATGCTTTCCCGCAGCACTTGTTGGAAAGACCGCTCTGCTCCCCCATGCATGGTCTCGGCCCCTGGCCAAAAATTACTTGACCCTTTCCATTGGTCTAGGTGTCTGTCTTCGTGGCCACACTCCACGGTTTTGGCCACTGTGCCTTCGGAGTCGTTTTGAAATCAAAGTGTGGGCCTTCCAGTTTTGTTTTTTCTCAGGATTATTTCAGTTATTTGGATTTCCTTGAGATTCTCTGTAATTTTAGAGTGGTTTTTCTGCTTATGCAAAGAAATTGTCCTTGGGATCTTGACAGAGATCGAGCCGAATCTGTAGATCGCTTTGGGCAGTACTGACATTTCACCACAGTAAGCCTCCCGGGATGCCGGCGTGGCTGTCAGTTAAGGAAGCGTCCAGCTCTCGACTTCAGCTCAGGTCACGATTACAGGGTCGTGAGATGGAGCCCCGCGTCAGGCTTCATGCTGAGTGTGGCATCTGCTCGAGACTCTTTCCCTCTGCCCCTCCCTCCCAAAAAAAAAAGAATGTATGTAAACATATAAAGATGTTACATACGATGTACCATGTGTGGCTCATATGCACATACGTACAATGTATCATACATGGCTCATACGCACATACGTGCAATGTATCATACGTGGCTCATATACACATACGTACAATGTATCATACGTGGCTCATATACACACACGTGCAATGTATCATACGTGGCTCATATACACACACGTACAATGTATCATACGTGGCTCATATACACACACGTACAATGTATCATACGTGGCTC